GGCTTGGGGGGGGAGCCCCAGAAACCCTGCCAGAGGCTGGCTGGCAGCTGGTGGCGATGTCCCCAGGGGTGACATCCCCGCAGGGGTTGCTGGAGGAGTGCTGGGACAAGGAGGTCTGCTCGGTGACGGAGGTCTCCTCAGCACAGCAGGGATCCTCGGTGGCTCCAGTGGCCTTCTTGGCAGAGGAGGGCTTCTGGGCAACGGAGGGCTGCTGGGAGGCGGCGGCCTGCTCGGCATCCTCGGGGAAGGCGGCTTGCTCAGCACGGTCCAGGGGCTCACCGGGTAAGGACAGCACCGTCCAGGCTCCTTGCAGGGGGAGCAACCTCAGATCTGTTTGGGGGAGGAGCAATGGTGATGCTTCAGTAGATGCTCAGATCTCGTTTGGAGCTGATGCTTTGAGATAAATGCTGCTTGGAAGTCCCACCAAGTTTGCATTGCTGGCTGCTACACAAGGAAAGTTAAAGGAAACAGTAGTTGAAAGGCACTTGCCCGTAGAGGGTCCACAGAACCATACGTTGGCCCTGCGGAGCCGGTGCCACCACTGCCAAAGCAATGCTCACTTGTTTGCAACCCTCCCATTTTAACTCTTATTTGAAGCCCAGCACCAAGCAGAAGCACAAGCACAAGCAATAATAAGGCAACTAGAACAAAGCTTCTGGTAAAACTGGAAAATAACTAAAACTGGAAAATAACTAAAACTGGAAAATAACTGAGAAAACTTGGTCTATTTTGCCATTTCTGGTCTAAATGGCCTCTGACTTGCCCACCCCTTGAGCAGTGGCTTTGTGTGAGCGGCAGAGCCCAAGCGGCAGGGTGCTGGGCTCAGAGCCATCACTCGTGGTGTCTCCCTCGTTGTCTCTGCAGGCTGAGGATCGTGGAGCTGACACTCCCCAGGGTGTCCCTGCGGCTCCTGCCTGGCATCGGCGTCCACCTCAACCTCTACACACGGGTGGCCCTCAATGCCAAGAGGTAGGTCGGGCTGGTGCTGGTGGCAGTGCCACCCGTGCCCCCGGACCTGGTGGAAGCACCACCACAAGGGGTGTCTCTGGGGGGACACACTGCTCCTGTTTGCTGGGAAGTGGCTGCTCCGCTGAAGGTCGCTCCCTTCCCCTTGCACAGCCTCCTGGGTTTGCTCGACATTGCGGTGGAAGTGAACATCACGTCAAGGGTCAGGCTAACCATGGACGGCACAGGCTACCCCAAACTGGTGACAGAAAGATGTGATACCCTCCTTGGTGGCATTAAAGTCAGACTCCTGAGAGGGTGAGTGATGGAGGTGTCCTCCTCTGCTGGCATGAGCCACCTCGCCACTGGGCTTTGCTGGCCCCCAGCCCGTGCCCGCAGAACAGCGAATGCACGAGGGCACTTCCCATTGCGTGTCTGAGTCCCGTGGGTGACTGCGACACCGGGTTCCTGCAGGTGACAGTCACTCACCGGCCCTGTCACGGGGCTGAGCAAAGGGCTGCTGGTGGCGGTGGTCCCTGTGTGCCCCTCGTGCAGCCGCAGCAAATGGACATGTTGTCCTAGAGGGCTGCACGACCCCGCAGCAGTCCCGGAGGGACATTTCTGTCCCATGTGCTGCATTCATGGGTCATTTTAACTGACATTGCACGGGGTCTTCTAAGACGTAAGCACATCATACATAAATCATAGAAACCACCTGGGCTGAGGTTGTTTCCGCTCATTTAAGGAGACTATACACTATTAGATAAAAGGCAGCAATAAATTTCCCACTGGTTATTTTGGGATGCAAATTACACTTATCTCATGCAAAATCCAAGCATGCACCATGCACTTTGCTGCTGCAATTGTCTTGCTCCGGGAGGTCTGCGCTCCGCACTATTCACAGGGAATGGTTTAACAAGACCCATTTACTTTGCAGCAGGTTTTTTTATGGTGCTCCTTCATTTTTCCACAGCCTGCTCCCGGTTGTGGATAATTTATTGGCAAGTGTCCTGAACAGACTTCTTCCTAATCTGGTAAGTTGGAAAAAACCTCCACCCAGGAAAGGAGCAATGAGTCCAAAAAGCTGCAGTGCAGCTCCCCGCGGCATCGCTCCTGTCCCAGAGTGGGAGCATGGCCATTGTCCCAGGGCTGCTGCGTCCACCTGCCCACCCAGTGGTTTGGGATTAGCAGGGGACATGTGCCATATCTCCATTTGCTTGGAAGAAGCTGCTCCCTCCTTCCAAATGCAAGGTCAACAAGACTGGCGCGGGTCTGCCCAAGTGCCTGGGAGTTTCTAACGATGCTCTGGACTGTGTTATGGGCTAACTGAATCTCTCCTCCCTCCTGAAAGCCCCAGGGTGTCCCCAGCCATCCCACATGGGCTCCTGGGACCCAGTCCTAACCCCGCTTGTCTGACGAAGGGCAAGGTGCGCAGGGCCAGATCCAGAACTGGTGCAGCCTCAGCACCGTGGAGTCACCAGCGGGGACTGCCATCCCATGCGCCCAGTGCTCCCGTTCCCTGGAAAGCGCGGCAGAGCCGAGCTGGGCTGCGTGTCTTTGTCCAGCTCTGAACACGGGTTACTCACCGTCCCTCCCCGACTCTTGCAGCTCTGCCCGGTGGTCGACGTTGCCCTGGGACTCGTCAACGACCAGCTGGGTCTTGTGAACTGTAAGTACTTGGTGGGTCCCACGCCTTCCCCTGCCTTCCCCCTCGTGCCACCTCCACTCTGGCCATGTGAGGACTGTGACACTATCCCCCCCTGCTGCACCCCAGGCAGGAAGAGCAAACCCCCCTGCTTCACCCCACAGACCCCAGGTCTGCCCCGAGCAGGGAGCGGGGACCCCCGGCAGCTCCCTGCCCAGAACCTGTCACCCCCAGGCAGCAACCAGGGAGCAGTGTCCCAGCACGCCTGGAGGGATGCTCTCCCCTCCCCACATCTCCCCTTTCTCCATCTCTAATCACGGACAGAAGGACCCCTGGGTGCATAAGGGCGGCATGACAGCTGTGAGCTGTCCCCTCCACTTGCAGCAGTGGCACGCACTGCTCATTAGGGAAACGACATCTCCTGTGGCATTACCGCTCAGCACAGAGCACCCGGAGCCGGGGCCAAGTGGCTGCCCTGAGTTCACCTGTGAGCCAGGGCTCTTCTGGAAAAAAACCCCTGCTGCCGAGCAGGGGAGGGGGTATTTGCACCTGAGTCCAGCGGGAAATCACTGAGTCTCTTCCTCTCCCCCCAGCACTGGTGCCCCTGGGCTTGCTGGGCAGTATCCAGTACACCGTGTCCAGTCTTCCCCTGGTAACCAGCCAGTTCCTCGAGGTAGACTTGAATGTAAGTCCTGCATCTTCTCCTTCCATCTACGTGCAAGAGTTGTGCTGTTTCACTTGGGTTTGGGAAGGTCTCCTTGGGCTGTCCCTGGGGCCACCTACACCTGAGCAGCGGGCTCTGAGGTTGCTGTGAAAAGGCTGGGGAGGTCCTGGCTCAATGCCCTGCTCTTGCTGCTGCCGCCGTCACGGGAGAGCGCAGTGGGGTTTGCATTTCATGAACTTCTGGAGAAGTAAGTGTCACAGGGCCTGACTTGGCATGGTCATGTACACAGCGATTTCACACTGAAGGAACATGAAGTTAACCGTAAAGGCAAATATTGCAAACATTTTGGCCTGTGCTTCCTTCCCCTGTAACTCCAGACTGTCGTCGGGCAAGTGGCAGGAGGCCTGGTGGACTATCCGCTGGGAAAGACAGAAGCTGTCCCCACACCACCACGGGTCCCCATGCCACCCCTGCCACCGATGGTGGACACCAGTTCCTCCCAGCTGGGCCTCTCTGTGAACTTCCTCAGCTCGGTGCTGTCTGTCCTGCAGAAGGAGGGTGCCCTGGACCTGGACATCTCTACCGGCATGGTGAGCAGGGAGTACTGCCCAGCTCTGGGTTTGGAAGGACTCAGGGTTGTCAGCCATGCAGACTGGTCCCACCGTGCAATGCCTTAGCACCTCTGTACCATTTAGCAGGGTCTCTGCTAGCTTAGGCGAAAAATGTGAGTGAGAGACCATGTGGTAAAAGCCTCAGGCATGTTGCTGGTGAAAGCAGATTCTGCTGAAAACCGCCACACACACGTGCAGCATTTCTCTCTTCTGTGTCACAGTTTCCTGAGCTCCCGCCACTAACAACATCATCCCTTGGAGCCCTGGTTCCTGCGGTGAGTCCTGGTTCCCCCTTGCACTGCAAGTAACCCGGCTAGAGAGGCAGCGTCCAGGGCAGGGGAGGTCTCCCTGTCTCTTCCTCCTCAGAGGCATCATCTCAGATGTCCCATGGACTTGAACGAGCTCTGACTTAGGTCCAGAAATGGAAATCATGGCAGGCCAGAGCCCAGTTTGTCACCCCATCCTCTGCAGCTCTCAGGTCACAGATGAGCCTTGCAGCTGCCCCGTCTGCCTGGATGTGGGGCTGTCTGTGGTCCTCCAGCCGGGATGAGATGCTCTCAGCGATTCTCAGGGCGTCCACGGGGCTGAGCGCACAGCTAGCTTGACTTCACTTCAGCCTGTTGAGATACAGACTTGTCCGACCGGAGCAATTCAGGATCAGATCTGCCCCCTGAGAGCAGCACGGTGCTAATGCTGCTGGAGTAGGCAGCCTGCTCTCTGGCTCCTGGTTACTCATTTGATCTGCCTGGTCCAGTGTCAGCACTGCTTGTGCTCCTGCCAGCAGAAACTTTCCACCTTTGGATGTTGACAGGTTTTCGAGGCGTACCCCGAGTCACGTGAATTGCTGCTGAAAATTGCAGTCCCTGAAGCACCTGTGGTGACCTTAAAGAAAAATAAAGGTGTGATCCAGCTCATGGCTACAGCAGAGGTGATGGTGATCCACCCAGATGATGTCCAGAGGTCGCTCTGCCTTCTGAATATTGTATGTACGAAGGAACAACCCATGCAGAAATTCCTCCTGCAGTTTCCCCCTCCCCACACAGCAGGTGTCGGGGTGCCAGTAGATGGGATCTGCACCCGATGTGACACAGCTGGGCTGCAGGCTTGGGCTTGGGCAAGGGCTGGAGGAGCCACCCCTGCCCTGACCTCTTTGTTTGACCGCAGAACACCTCCTTGCTGGCCCAGTTTTCGGTTGAGGACAACAAACTGAAGATTGGCGTCAGCCTGGAGAAGTAGGACACTGGTCTTCGTCTGGGGGGTGGCGAGGGGTGGACGTGGGATCTCCTGGGCTGTGTGATGATGAGGGCATTGACAGGACTGGGTCAGCAGAGGAACTGCTTGGATCTTACCTCTGCTTCCTTCTGCAGGGCTGATCTCTCCTTGGTGTCTTCATCCGTTGGTGGTTTTGATGTAAGAACGTGAGCAGCCTCAGCAACATGCAAAATCCATTGCAGAAAGCAAAGTGCTGATAGATATTGGCTCAGGAGAAATAAGGGCCAATTATGGTGTAACGGTTGTGTCGTATTTTTAGTAGCACCTTTCTTTCACCTCTGGAGATGGATTTTCTTTTCATGGATGATCCATGAGCAATTTTCAGAAAAAATCCCCACTGAGAGGGAGAGGTTTGGGTCCTCAGTGAACCGCAGGACACCCCGCACATGCCCATGACGTCCCCTCAGGACGCGCCTGGGGAGGCTCATCCCTGTGCCTCATAGGGGACGACGGCAAAAGTCAGGAGGAATCCTGGGCTCTCCCGTCGCAGGATACTTGCAGATAGAGCATGTTTGGTGCAGACAGCTTTAATGCCAGCGGGAAGAGGCCTGTGGAATGGCATTATTTTGGGACTAAAAATTGACCATAGAATGCTTAAAGTCCAATTTCTGTGAAATTGGGAGTTTGCATTAGATGGGTGTGGAGCTGGAGCACCAAGGGTTCAGGTTGGGTTTAGCTGGTGTGAACGGAGCATCCCCACATGCCTGAGGACAGGGTGAGGCTGCACTGACCACGGGACTGGGACCAGCAGTGTCACTAAGCGACCCCTCTCCTTGTTGCAGGTCTCACTCCTGGAGATGCTCGTTGACCAGGTTTTCGATGTTGCCTTCCTGCCTGCAATGAACAGTAAGGGAGCTCTTATGCCTCGTCCACATATTTGTTTGTGCTAGACTGTAGCCTAGACACCAGATTTATGCAGGTGTAGTTTACCTCGCCGTATGGAACAGGAGCCAGTGGGACTGACCTGCACTGATGGGGGGGGTGGGGGTGTTTCAGGTGGCAGCGTTTTGCCGGGAGGTGAACCCACATATCACAAAACAGGGGCCCCGCAGCCCCCTCCGTGGGGGCTGCTCCCCACCTGCCGCTTTGCTGGCAGGAGCAAATGACAATATGTTTTGTCGACGCACTAAGTCCCACAGCACAAAGCCTTTCCGGAGGGCCTTGCACTCGTGGAGGGAGGGGTTTGCACACAGGGAGGATGGAGTTGGGGACCAAGCCCTGGGCAGAAGCTCGGCAGCCACCCCCTCCTTCCACGGCACTAAGCTGGGCTGGCTTGTGACCCGCAGGCGTGCTGGGAGTGGGGGTTCCCCTCCCGAGGCTGCTGAACATCGACTTCACCAGTGCGGACATCGATGTCATGGAAGTAAGTGCTCAGGCGTTCCCCGAGGTTCTTCTGCCGGCACCCCAGCTCTGCTCCGGAGCAAAGGCCGTGCCCATTGCTTGCGCGGAGGATATTCAGAGGGAAGGTAACCCGTCTGCTTCACCAGGATCTCATCGTGTTGTCGGCGTGAGCTGGGGATGCCGGGCTGGGAAGGGTCCCCTGGTTTTCCCTGTCTGGCCCCGGAGGGATGGGAGCCCAGCCTGCCTGAAGGATGCTCCACCGCATTTCTCTTCGTACCTAACACAACAGAACAGCAGCTTGGTCTTTTCCATGTGAACGTTGCATCCCACCTCCATTGCTTGGAACAGAAGGAACACACATGGTTTTTGCCTCCAGATGTTGTGTTTTGGACTCTTTCGTGGATGCTCGGAAGGACGCGGGTGTATTTTGCATTCTCATGCTTGGGTTTAATAAAGGCCAGTCCTCTCTGCAGCCACAGTGGGTGCTCAAACCTGCGGGGGTGGCCAGCTCTGGTGAACCCCAGGGGCTCAGGACAGACCCCGCTGTGCTGGGGACCCCAGCCCCTGTGGGTGGGAGGGCTGCAGCCCCCTGCCCAGTTGCCCAGCCCCGGCTCTGCCCACCCGACACCCAGCTCAGGGTGGGCAGAGAGCTGTCTGCCGGCAAACACTGCATTAGACCCAGACATGTTGGCCTTTTTTCAGGGCCTGGACCCAAAGCTGTGGGGTCTTTTCTTTATCTTGAAGACCCCTCACGCCATCACCTGCCCCGGGCTTTACCGTGGCTTTGTCCTGGGAGCGCTCGGGGAGCCCAGCGAGCTCCCCTGGCCCACGAGCAGGGGTCTGAGCGGTCATGCCGCATGGCTGGGGTAATTCATCCATCGATGCCTGTGAACTCTGCATGAACTGCACAGTTTATTTATGCACGGGCTCTTTCTTGCAGTTCAGGTGCCTGTTGAAGCAATGAAGCTTTTGCTAATTTAAGGCTCTAAAGCCATCGATTGCTCCTGGGGTGAAAGGGAATAGCTGGGACGGCTGTAATATTGCTGCCTTTGAGACTGTCCTGCCCTTGTCCAGTCTAGATCCACCCTGAAAACCACCTGGAACCTCAGGCTCAGGTTTTTCTGTCATCTTTCATGCTCCTTTTCCCTTCACCTCTGTATTTATTTCCCTGTTTTCTTTTATTTGTTGTCTCTCAAGCCTCCTTTAAACTGCCAAGATCTTTCTTGGAGGCACAAGCCATCTCCTGTGTACCTCTGGGTGACAGGCAGCTTTCACGGCACAGCTGGCATGCTGTAAATACACATACTCTTTAGTTTGTGATAACTTATTTTTTTAATCAGCCTTGTGCTGTTTCTGTACATAATTAGCTCGTTGGGAGGTAATTGCTCACCTCTCACTGTCCTCAGACCCTTGTGCCCTGCTGAATATGATGGAGCATACCCTGGAGAGGAGCTGCCCCAAACCATCCCTGGGACCCTCTGCTCAGCCAGAGAACCAGGAGCATCCCCAGGCCCCTGTGGCATCCCCCTTCACCCTGGCTGCTCTGAGGTTGTCTCATAGGAACCACGATGCTCAGGGGATGGTCTGGGGTCTGCGTGTCCCATGGAAATTCAGAGATGCAGAGAGGAGAGGGAGGAGAGCGAGGGATGACAGATTTCCACCTCTCTGCCTTGGCAACGAGGGCTGCCCTGGACTGGACACCACTGCTGCGAGCTGGTACCCGCTCTGTCTGCAAAGCACAGCACCATCTGCACCGCAGCCGTGGCCACGCCGGCCACCCGCGGCACACACGGTTCTGGTGACTGCCCTTGTAGTGGGTTCTGGGGCTTCCAGCGGGGCTGGGAGTGCAGGGAGGATTTGCAGCTGGGGGCTGTCAGGTGCCAGCACCCTCCTGGCTCCGCTCTGGGCTGCTCTGGGAGAGCAAAGCGAGAGAGACACCGAGTTGCTGTGAGCGGCAACAGCCACCTGTGCCACGGCCCGTGTCCCTACCATGGCCACGGCCAGCCACGCTGGGCCATGTGCAAGGAGCTGCGTGGCGCTGGGCTGGATGGGACCTGATCCAGAGCATCCCCTGCCCGGGGACGTGAGCCCCTGCCCCAGCACCCAGGGGCTGTAGTGGGCTGCCTTGCTGGACCTTCGGCCCCGGCGCAGCTGCCCCAGGCATGCGCTCTCTTGAAAGTCAGAGGGGGCAGGAGGGGACAAGCCCCGAGGAGCGGGGTGTCAGTGTGCCCTGGCCAGGCAGGAGGGCCGGTAGGTACCGCACCCAGCCCGAGGGAAGGGGGTGAGCCACTGGGCTTGGTGGGTGCTGGTGGCCACGGCCCGGCGCTGCTACGTGAGCATTCGGGGTCAGGCTGGCGCAGGGTTCACACTTCACAGCCAGCAAAGAGGAACTGTTCTTGCTTCATCCTTCCCTGGACTTTCCTTGTTCCTGCAGTTCGGGTATATAAGAGCAGCTCCTGCCAGCTGCCGCTGAGGGGCCGTGGGCAGCTGCACTGCAACATCAAAGGGCTCCAGGTAAGTGGCATTAAGGTACCGTGGCCACAGAGCTCCTGTTCCCATTAGACTACTTACAGCAGAGTGTAACTCGGCTTTAAAAGCAAGAATTTTAATGATGTTTTCCTTTGATTTCTGTAGCAGCATTTAATCATGTATGAAAATTTATTTTTGAAGCTAGTAGAGCTCTCCCTTGTCAAATTCCATGTTTATTTTTGTTGTTCAGTTTGTTATCATGACTAAGCTAGCAGAAATGACTAGGATTTTTTTCATGATCTTAGTGACCAGAATTCAGAACAATTTTCAGCTTATCAGATCTCATCTCAGCTGGTGTAAAATAAGCATTTATCGGCAAAGCCATACATGCATTTTGCATGTACAAGATGTTCAGCTCGCTTAAATGCGTGTGACCAAGGAGGTACCAACCCGATAGATACCATTAATAACGGCAGAGACAGTTGTCTACTTTGTCACGTATTCTCTCTAAGAGCTCTTCTAAAAGACCTGAAAACCATTTTGGCATCCTTTTACAATGCTACACACGTCTTGCAGAGACCCTCCAACAAATCCCACTGATTTTATTTGACATGATTTTCAATGGAAGCTGCTCAAGCCTCTATCTTTCTCTCCCGTTCAATAATCACAGCTACAGGAGCTGTGCATCATTACATGCTGATCAAAGGGAAAATGTAAAAGACAGTCTAGTGAATTAAAGTCTAATTTAATTGTGCCAAAAACTGTCATAGAGGGATTTCTTTTTTTTTAAAGTATCTGGAACAGATAAAGAAGTTGTTCAGTCTGACCTAAATAATGTTATTTCTCAGTGCTGAACCTCAAATCTGCAGACTGTACATTGTTTTTCTCAGAAGAGACAAGCTGGGGTGTCCGGCCCGGGACGTGGGCTGTGCAGGCGGGTGCTCCCTTAAACCGGGACCTTGTGGTCCCAGTCCCAGTCCTTAAACTGGAACTTCAGCAGGTGCCTTTTTTCATTTCTTTGCAAACACCTTTCTGTGCATGAACAAACACTCCACAACGTTCGTTGCAACCCCAAGAAGTCCAGCTCGTGCGGGAATATGAGGTCCTTGAAGGTGCTTTCTTTTGACTAGAGGCAGATCAAATTCAGGGGAAGTGGACTCTTTTCCATAGCCTGGATGGAGCAAGATGAGAAAAACAAACAACCTGCCCACGGAAAAGTGACTCTGATTTTGGCTGCGCTTTGATCTTTAATAATGCAAGGTGTTCCTCATAATGGGGAGAAGGACACAACTGTGACACAGACCATTTTTTATCCGGCTGTGCCCCTTTGAGTGTCCTTCTTTCAGGGCCATTTCAGAGCGGTTGGAAGCCATCCGTCTCGTTCAGTACAAGGTCCTCCTGCCTCATCTCCATTCCTCTTGTTCTCTTTAAAATGGCATTTTGTTCCTCCAAGCTTCCCTGAGATGTCAGGCACCCAGCTCTGCAGCGGGGTAGCCCAGCCGGGCATGGAGACATCAATGCCTCTGGAGGACCACATCACCATGCTCCAGTTGCTCCCTGATAGCCAGAAGGAGTTTGACCTTTCTGGGTGGAAAAAGGGTGCTGTGGGTCCGGGTTGGTCCCTTGGGGCTGGGGGACGGTGCCTGGTGCCTGCATGTCCAGGGGGGACCTGCCCCACCGCCCTGGGGCAGCACACATGAAGGATGGAGAGCTGGACCGGTGCCCAGGCTGTTGATTCCCGCACAGTGGGGCTGGTGCTTGGGCTGATGTGGGTCTCTCCGCAGGTGCTGGGACCAGACATGCTGCCTTTCTGGTGTTTCATCCTCCTTGGGGGCCTCCTGCCCCCGTCCCAGGGCCTCCTCAACCTGGGCAGTGTCCTTGGGCTGGGCCCAGCGCAACCCAAAGATGGTGAGCTCAGGGGTTTTCCATGTTTCCCATGGGAGCGTTGTGGCACAGGTGGCCACACCTGCCTTGGTCCTGGTGTGTCCTGTGTCACATCAGGCTCTTACAGCGTCCCTCTGTTCATCAGGGACCTGCCTCCTGGCAGGCTTGGCTCCATGGGGAACCCAAGTTTGTGCAAGGATGCTCAGGGTTCCCCATGAGACCTCAGGAGCAGGTCAACCTAACGTAGCTGATCCAATGTTTCTTGTCAATGAAATCTTTCCAACAGTGGAAGTCTGATTAGTAACTGGGACTTCCTTGGTGCAGGTTTGCTTGGTGCTGGTCTTCTCGGCAGTGAAAGTCTTATCAGCAGAAAAGGTGGATTGCTTGGCACAGGCCTTCTTGGTGAAGGTGGGCTACTTGGTACCGGCCTCCTTGGCAGAGGAAGTCCGAGTGGAGAAGAAAGTGGAGGTCCCCTTGATGCAGGAAATGAATCCAGCAGATCTGGGGTCCTTGGCACAGGCCTCCTAGGTGAGGAAGGTCTACTTGGCATGGATGTGCCTGGGAGAGGAGGGCTTCTTGGCAATGAAAACCAGAACAGTAATGAAGGTCTGACTGTTGCAGGAGGACAACCTGGCAGCAGTGGTCTGCTCGGCACAGGCATCCTTGGTGGGGAAGGCCTTGGCACAGGCATCCTTGGTGGGGAAGGCCTTGGCAATGGTCTCCTCGGCAATGGTCTCCTTGGCAATGGCCTCCTTGGCAATAAAAGCCTTCTTGGAGAGAAAGGTCTGCTTGGCACAGGGCTGCTTGGAAAAGGAGG